TGAAGGACCCATGGGCAAATTGAGCCCCTAAGCACCCTGGGCTGCATGCAAGCTGCCCTAAGCAGCTACAAAGCAAAGGACTGTGAGAAGGTTGCAGAGCCAGGACTGTGGACAATTCCAGATTGTACATGTATGTACGTACCTCTGGGTTCCTCTGGTATCTCTCTGCATGTACATGTGTGTACATCTTGGAATATTATTCCAAAAAATATTCCAAATTTATAGATAGTACCTTGAACCACTACCTAGCTAAAATACTATTCCAGAAATATTATTCCAAAAACAATATTCCAGTAGGTCAGATGACCCGTGGAATAGTATTTTTAAGCCATCCCCTATAAAAAATCGCGTGTAGTTCGTTCCTGGCCTTCCATCTCCGCAGATCGCTTCTCACCCCCTCCCAGTAGGGCGCGGATGCTCGCATTCTTCGCCACCTGCTAAGAGCCGTTCATTCGACCGGGAAAGGGGCACTGGAAATGGCCTCCAACCTAAGTGCAAGGGCCTCCAACCTACTCCCCACCTGTAAAGCTGTACGTCCATCTTTGGTCTTCAAATTTTGGTTGGCACCTTTCTCAAGAAGGAAGCGCACTGCTCCTTCATCACCTGGTTGCAGAACTGGCAGAGACCCTTGCATGAACCACTGCCATAACTCACTGCCAAGATCTAAATCGCTGGAGACCCGCGGTTACCTGCACTGAAAGCGCACACATGAGGCGCACACACTTAGATGGACGCTCGCAAGAGCTAAGTCGGTGGATGAAGTTCCCCTTTACACTCATTAGCGCTTGACTCGATGGAACGGAAAGATGCCTCGATTCAACGGAAAGACGATGGAGTCCGCAAATTTGAAAGCGTTTGAACAATTTGTTCCAACTCATTGGCCGCTTACTGCAAAGCACCGCAATGGACAGCTTGAAAATCGTTCAAACATGTGGCGCAGGTACGTTCGGCTGATCAGGCCGAATGTCCCACTCTGTGACCTAGCTTCGTTGAACTGGGTCAGTCACAGAGTGCCCAGTTCCCCTGCTGGCGCTTGTCGCTCCAAAACCTTGGAGACAGGTGTTGACACACACACCAAGCCGAAGTCGGCGCTCACTAAGAGGGGGAGAGAAGAGAAGAAAGAAACAGAAGAAAGGAAAGGAAAAGAAGGTGTTCCCAGCTACGACACAAGCGTCCAAGGACACGCCAAGAGAAGAAGAGAAGGGTTCCCAGCTATGACGAAAGCATCCAGGGACACCCAAAAAAAGAAGGAAGACGGAGAAAGGAAAAAGAAAAAGAAAGAAAGAGAAAAAGAGAGAGAGAGAGAGGGAAAGGAGAAAAGGAAAAAAAGACGAAAACAGGTGTTCCCAGCTACGCGCAAGCGTCCAGGGACACACCAAGGAGAGGGATATACCTGAGTGTTGCATTCAGGAATACCCCCAAAAGGCAAAGAGAGAATAGGGGGAGGAAGGGGACTAAGGTCCCGGCAGACTCCAACGAGTTCGGCCGCTGCGCCACATTAGACCGCTACGGTCACGTAAAGGCATGAGCCAGCTTGGAATGCAATAATCCGACAAACCTTGCAAGCCTGCTTTGTCCGCTGCGGACTACTCTGGCCCCGGCGCAGGGACGAAGACAAACCCCCGTTCAACGGGTGCACAGGGGGCACTCTGCGGGCTCACCCTGGGCTCTCACTAGGAGAGACACACTTATAGAAATGCGTACTGACTTGACAGCGGTGCCGCACGCCAGCCTAAGTGAAAACTAAGAAAGCCA